AAGCACTTTAAGCAACAGAACAGAGAAAAAAGGAAGCAGGTGTGACACTAAACGGTGTCTGTTCTCAAAATTTCCTGGGGCAGGTCATAGAGGCATCAGGGTTGATAAGGTTAGTGCAGTGAAAGCCATTAAAGGGCCCAGAAATGTCAGTGAGGTGAGACGCTTTCTGCGGAAGACAAATCACCTTGGGAAATTCCTACCTCACCTGGCAGAAACAAAATGGATCCTCTACTCTCAGAGATTTACTGAAAAAGTCAAACATGTGGGTCAACAGCAACAGGCCTTTGATCGCATCAAAGAGGAACTGATAACACCTCCATCGCTAGCACTGTATGACCCACATGTTGAAACACTTATGTCTGCTGATTCATCCTCATATGGGATGGGCACCGTGCCTCTCAAGCAACGAGTTGGCACAGAATGGAAACCTGTGGCATATGCTTCAAGAGCTCTTAGCAGCTCTGAACAGGAATACGCCCAGATTGAGAAGGAGGCGCTGGCCTCAACTTGGGCCTGCGGGAGGTTTGCAGAGTTCCTCATCTGGAAAAGTTTTCACATTGAGCCTGGTCACAAGCCTTTGGTTCCTCTGCTGGGCTCAAAGAGCTTAGATGAGCTCTAACCACGCATACAGCATCTTCGCTGGTGTAATTGTGGTGTAATTCTTACACCGTATCACATGTCCTGTAAAGCGCTTTGAGTGGTCATCAAGACTAGAAAAGTGCTATATATATACAAACCAAACCATTATGTAGCAGGCAAAGAAATTGCAACTGCTGATGTGCTTTCCACAGCTCCTGCCAGCAACACAACTGAGGTGCTGGATCAGGATGAGATCAACCTGTAGGTGGACGGTGTCATAGCAAGCCTGCCAGCTACAAAAAAGAGGCTTAAAGAAATCCAGACACATCAGGACAATGACAGCATACTCCATTGAAGAATTGCTGTGAGGAGGGATGGCCAAACAAGTTCTCAATTGAAAGAGTGTTTCAACCTCATCTGCCACTCTCAGGTGAGCTCAAAGTTCAAAATGGTCTCAATATGTTGAGATTTAGTAAAAGCCATAAGTACTGTATGGTAAATGTACTTATTGATGTTCATCCTGATAAAACTACTACATTTTTTGGGTTACTGAATTACTAAGATATACAGTATATGTGCTCAAAGATATTTTTTGACTTGCAGTTTTATTTTGTTTGTATTGTTTATGAATGCATATCATATCCACAGGGAAGGTCCCTTATTTAGAAAGGGGGACGTAGTGTCAGGGAAATACATGGGTAGGAACCTTTAATATGTAACAGTTGCAAGGGGGACAAAATAAAAGGAGATGTAAGTCAGCCTGCACATTGGTCTGTCAATATTGAGCCTCCAGATAAGGACTTATAAACAACAGAACAATGTCAGTCTAACTCAACTGATGTAGAATGTGAATAAAATACCGCAAATTAAGGATTTCTGTCAGTCTCTCCACTGGTCAGTTCCCTTCACTCTGGAAGGTTGCATTTGTCACCATGATCTAGAAACAAAGAATAAACCCTAAGCCTCCTCAGTCACATTGAAAACCTGTTTGAAAGACTGCCTACATCATGACTCAATAAACATAGAATAAATGGGCCTCCTCGCAAATCATCAAGGTTTCAGAAAAGAAATAACCACAGCAGACAACATCCTTAGTTCATCAGAAGACATCCACCGAAAAAGGAAATAACATTGGCCAATGGCCACATTCTTTGACTTCAAGTATTTGACAAGGTATTGCACAACAGAATCCAGACTATAGGATTCCAACCTCAAACTCCCACAACCCACCCAGTCCATCATCTCAAGCTTTCCCAAAAACGGATAAATCAAAGTTGAAGTTGCCTCCAACATCTCAATACTTTTAAACCCAGAAGCAGGAGTTCCCCAAGGTGCAGTTCTAAGTGTCCTCCTATTTTTCTTATACATCTCTCAAATTCATAACCACCTAGCCACTACAGCCATAATCTCTCAGTTCGCCGTCTATCTATGTTACTGGTTCAGTTCAAAAAACCCTCAGCTTGTGGGCTTGTTGTCACACCGACATAACCAAAATAAAAATCTCGTCAAATATCTTGATAATCAAAATGAACCCTACCTAGGTGTCTTGGTAGGACACCAGAATACCTATCTCATCTCTACAAGCATCAACGGCTGCAAACAATACAAAACAAAGCACTTAAACTGGCCTACCGTCATTTATTCCAGCATATCAGCTGGACTCTGTTCCAACTAGACTTTTTAAAGAAGTCCTCCCCCTAATTGACCGTTCCATTTTAAATCAGATTAATAAGTCTTTGCTAACCGGCTACGTACCWCAGGCTTTTAAGGTAGCCGTTATTAAACCTCTGCTTAAAAAGCCTACGCTTGATCCAGAGGTTTTAGCTAACTATAGACCCATATCCAACCTGCCCTTCATTTCCAAAATCCTAGAAAAAGTTGTTGTTAACCAGCTGTGTGGTTACTTAGATAGTAACGGTTTATTGGAAAAATTTCAGTCAGGATTTAGAACCTATCACAGCAGCAGGATGCTGAAAAACTAGTCCACGCGTTTGTAACCTCTAGATTAGATTACTGTAACTCTCTATTAGCAGGATGCTCCATGAAGACTGTTAAAAGTCTCCAGTTGGTCCAAAATGCTGCAGCACGAGTGCTGACAGGAACTAGAAGGAGAGATCATATCACTCCTGTCTTAGCTTCCTTACATTGGCTCCCTGTGAAATTTAGAATAGAATTCAAGATCCTGCTCCTCACTTTTAAAGCCCTCAACAATCACTCCCCCTCATATATCAAAGAGCTGATAACACCTTATTATCCAAATAGATCACTTCGTTCCCAAAACACAGGCTCTCTAGTGGTTCCAAGAGTCTGTAAGAGTAGAGCAGGAGGTAGAACATTTAGCTATCAGGCTCCTCTCCTATGGAACCAGCTCCCACTCTGGGTTCGGGAGGCAGACACTGTCCCAGCATTTAAAGTAAAACTAAAAACCTTCCTCTTTGACAAAGCCTATAGTTAGTTCTGGATCAGGTGAGTCCTGAACTATCCCTTAGTTGTGCTGCTATAGGTTTAGACTGCTGGGGGAACTCCCATCATGCACTGAGCACTTCTTCACTTCCCTCTGTCTCTCTGTCTCTCTGCCCCCCCACACCTGTTTATTTATTTATTTATTAGTTTTAACATGTCATCATGTCAAAGTGACACTTTGTCCTTCCATAGTCCCTCTGGCTCTTCTCTCTATCTCGTTTCAGATAACTCCGGCACCGGGACTGCAGGACAACAACAACTACCATCGACATTGTTAGCGTTAATTACAAGAACTCAGTAATTCATTAATATATATAATCCTGTTGTAGATCACTACATTGTTATTGTTATAGTCAGCCCTGATAGTGATTGGTGCCCAATTGTTCCCGATCTCTCTCTCTCCACCTCATCTCTCTCTTCTCTCCCTCGCTTTCCACCCATCTCTCCTTTCCTCCCCCCTTACTTTTCTTTCCTCACCCCAACCGGTCGAGGCAGATGACCGCCCACATTGAGCCTGGTTCTGCCAGAGGTTTCTCCCTGTTAATGAGGGAGTTTTTCCTCTCCACAGTCGCCTGTGCTTGCTCATTGTGGGAACTGTTGGGTTTCTCTATGTTAATATTGTTTTAAGGTCTTGACCTTTAAATGTAAAGTGCCTTGAGATAATGTAAATTATGAATTGGCGCTATATAAATAAAATTGAATTGAATTGAATTGAATATCAGACTGACACAAATGGACTGATCCGCAACAGTTGCTGATCTCCTTCATGGCAACAACATTCATAAAATCACTTTGTGTTTGGCAATTTATCTTCAAAATAAAAGCACAAAATTGTTTCATTGCTGGAATGTTTTATTATGAGTGTAATTACAGAGCTTTTATTTTGAAAAGTTGTGAACTTGGGTCTGAAGATTGTGTCCATGACTTAAAGGTCCTGTGTGTAAGATTTAGGTGAAAGGCAACTATTGGCAGAAATATAATCTAGAATAATCCTCATGATGTTTTCACAAGTTCATTTCATCTAAATTGTATGAATTGTAGTTTTCTTTACCCCAGAAAAGGCTCTTTATATTTAAATACTTTATATTTACATCAAGGGGACCCTCTCTATCGAGGCCGCCATGTTTTTTATATCAGTCCAGACTGAACAAACTAAACACCTTTGAGTTTTTATGACAATTAAAGGCTACCACAGGTTCTTTTTCACTTTTGGAAGAAGAGGGTGAGGTGAGGGGTGTTCAGCTGCAACATGCAATTTCACACACACTGTACCTTTAACAGACCTCTGAAATAACCTCAATGCAATCCATGAAAAATAATAGCAGTTGGGTAAATCATGAAACCTACCATATAAGCCACACATATGAAGCATATACTATAATATGTTCATAATAGATAAACCAGGTGAGATACACATAATGTTCTCTGACTTCTCTCTGCACCATAGACTGTATATAAAAATGTCTGCACACAACATCCAGCAAACAAACAAGAAAAAGTAACAGTATATTGTAGAATTGTGGAAATAAAATTACCTGGTTATGTATTTTAAATGCATTTATAAATTATACTGATTGAGTGGTAACAATTGTAATATTTGCCTGTGCAGACTGCAGCTGTGCTCCCTGGGAGTTTTATGAATGGCCGAATCATAGCTTGCAGTGTGTGCGAGTGTATGTGTGCGTGTGTGTGTGTGTGTGTGTGTGCGAATGATGCATACTGCAGTGGCCGGTGATATTAATGGGGGAGGGGGAAATGGAGGAAGAGGTGAGAAATGTGTGGGGAGTAGAGACGCAGGACGGTAGGAGGGGAAAGGATGGAAGAGGAGAGATATGATGGGAGGAGACTAGAGGGTGTTCTGCTCCTCTTGCTTTCAATCTACATGACTCACACACACACACAGACGCGCGCGCGCCCGTTCATAGAGGCAGCTCCGCCCCCACTGCAGTGTAGAGACAGCTAACGAGAGCAGCTATGGAGCCTGCAGAGCAGCAGGAAAAAATAGAGGGATCGTGGGAAGGAGGACATGATGGAGGGAAGGCAGATTGGAAAAATGACTGCTCCCTCTCCTCCCTCCTTAAACACTCTTGTCTTCTCTGTTGGTCATCTCCCCGGGACACCGAGGTCGTTGAAACGGATGAGAGGGTCCTCGCCAAGGTGGCCGAGATTAGAGTAAGAAGACCGCAGGATCTAGCCCTGGTGTGTGTGTGTGCGTGTGATGCTTTATTTAATGCATTTGTCTCAATATGTTTCGTGTTGGTGTCCCATTTTGTTAAGGCTGTGGACATACACCATATTTGTGTCTGTGTGTGCGCAGTGTTTCCAGTATGGGACCACTACATCACTGGATTTCCCATGATGCTGTCATGTGATGTCATTATTCTCTTAGAATAGTCTCCGATTCGATGAAGCTGTAAATGCACATGTGCAGGTCTGTATTGCCACAGGGCAAGATTCAGGCCCTCTGGTCCCTGAAGGCCCCCTGTGTAGTGACTGCTCTGTTGTTATTAGATTAAGTTAATTTCAAAATTATAACATGGTTATGGTTGTATCACCTTTTTTCCCTCTCACATTGACTGAAACGACCAGGATGTAAAGACAGCTTCTGTATTCTTTTCTAATGTAATTTAAATGTTTTCATTATTACAGTGTGGTCCCTGCTTCCAGTCTTTCAGATTAATAAAGCTAGCTGAACAGCTATGCTAACCATATTTGATTACTGGACACATACACACAGAAAGTGACAGAGAGATATGAAATCGATGTGAACGTTTTTATCGGACCTTGGGCAAACAACATATTTTAAATAATAGAATTGGTGGTTTCTGTGTTCCCTGTTCTTTAACATTTATTCAGTCAAACTATTTGAGCTAGAGCAGTGAGAGAACATTTAATTCTCATTTATCACCTGTGCCTGTGCTGGTAGGCTACTGTGGCAAAGGACGTTGCCACCAGAGTCTCACACCAACAGCCAGAGACAAACCGTTCACTTTTCAGCATTGTATTAAACCAGGAGCAAACATTCATTTTTAAACAAAACATAAATTGTCCAGCAGTTTGTGCTGGCTTCTTGGCAGCTCAGCTCTCTTCGGAGTCTCTGCATCTCTGCCAGGTGTGTCTTCCCTTCTTGAGTTTCTCTCATGTGTGCCTCCTCGTGTTTCTCCTAGAAGAGATTCATTTATTGTGTGTGTGTGTGTGTGTGTGTGTAGGAGCTGGAGAATGCAGTGGCAGTGGAGAACTTAGAGCTTCAGGAGCAGCAGTCAGACCGCAAGGAGCTACAGGAGACACTGGTCAAATTAGATGACCACAAAGAGAAACTGGTTCAACAAATAAAGGCAACCAGGCAGCTCTGCTATGAAGAGAGTCAACAGGTAATGTATAACTGCTAAATGAAAACTGCTGAATAAATCCAGGAGGCTTCTTGAGGTCGCCTGTCTCACCCCTATAAAGAAATGGTTTAGTCCTTGCTGCTCGCTTCTTCCGTAAACATAATTGAAGTCAGTAAGTGAGTACTGGAGAAGTGGTGTTCAATATGTCAGGAAAGCAAACGTAAAGTCAGGGAATCAGAAAAGAAAAGAAAAATGGAATGAGAAAGAACAGAGGGCAGACACTGGTGACAGATTTCTTTTCATCCATTAATACCAACGTCTATTACACCGGGTCACAGTGGCTGTTTCACAGATTGGCAGCTGTAGCTGAGGGTTTAATTCACCTTAAGAGCTCATAGTAAAATTACAACTGAACAAGGTGGACTTGAACTAGGACGACATATCCGACATATTCTGGTTCTGCCAGAGGTTTCTCCCTGTTAATGAGGGAGTTTTTCCTCTCCACAGTCGCCTGTGCTTGCTCATTGTGGGAACTGTTGGGTTTCTCTATGTTAATATTGTTTTAAGGTCTTGACCTTTAAATGTAAAGTGCCTTGAGATAATGTAAATTATGAATTGGCGCTATATAAATAAAATTGAATTGAATTGAATTTATTTTTCTACATCTAGTCAAGTCTAACTCAAAAAGAACAAACGCTTCTGCAGGTTACCCTTCACATTAAAAGTCCCATACAGATACACTGCTTATGATAACAGGAAACACAAATTCATTGACCAATCTTTCACATAAGGCCATTAATTAAAAAATAGCTCACAATCACACTGGGTGATGTTCTACCGGTTCTACAGCTGAGCTGTGTTTATACTGAGGGTTTATTTCAAAGATGGCCATAAATGTGTGTGTGCGTGTGTGTGTGTGTGTGTGTGTGTGTGTGTGTGTGTGTGTGTGAGAGAGAGAGGGTGAGCAAGAGAGAGAGAGGAAGAGAGTGAGAGACCAGACTGAGCAAGTGAGCGAGAGAAAGAGAGCCTATTGCCCTTATCATTCATTTTTACATTCACTTTGAATATAACTATTATATAATATAACCTATGTGAGGTTTCTGGTGTGATCAGGGTTAGGGAGATTTCATATTGTGCATTATTACTTATTATAAATTTGGTATGTACTGATTATCACAGTCATTAGTGACTTCCCTAAAAAACACAACAGATTCATTCGTACAGCTGACTCATTGGCACATTTTAATCAGTTTTTCTACATATAACAAATGTGCATGAGGGACATCATGAATCGAGAGAGGAAGGGGCCCAAAGAGACTGCTTGTGTAAAGATCCTGAATCCTGTGTTACGCCCCTGCTTAGAGCCAATGGCCAGAGGCCTTGTTTTGGGGTTGTCTGTCTGTATGTCCCACTCTTGTGAACACAATATCTCAAGGACACCTTGGTGGCCTCACAAAGTTTATATTGAACAAAACATCTTAAGCTCAACAAACATTCACATGGACTGAAGATCAAATGGTCAAGGTCACATGTCCTCCCACTGTTGCAAACGCGATATATCACGAATGCCCAAAGGGAATTTCATTCCATATGACACAAACATTCATTTGGATTCAAGGATGATCTGATTTTAATTTGGTGGTCAAATCTCAAAGGTCGAGGTTGCTGTGACCTCACCAAGTATGTTTATATTTTTTCTTTAACATGATATTTTGAGATTAGGTGGAGGGAATGTCTTTTAAATTTGGTACAAAGATTAATTTAGGCTTAAACATAAACTGATTGGATTTTGGTGACTTACGGTCAAAGGTCATCTGGCACAATATACCTGGACTCATGGATGGCATCATTAGAATTTGGTGGTCAAATTCACTGTGACCTCTCAAAACCCATGTTTTGCCTTGGGAAAGTGATATATAAGGAATATTCCAATGGAATTCTTTCAAATTTAGCACACATATGGAAATAAATCATCACTCTGTGAACTTGTATGGCAGGTACCGGTATATTTAAAATCCTGCCTTCACATAATCTTGAAAAAGAAACATGTTCAATACAATGGTAAAGGTTACTGGAATTCTTATTTTAGTTGTTAGGTGCAATGGCCTTGTTATTAAGGCTTCTCCTCTACAGATAAAAACAAATAATACAGTCAGTACCAGTGTCAGCAGTTTAATTTTCACATCCTCATATATTCCATTGATTTATTTACCACTTATTTTGTGTTTGTCTGTAAGACAATAGAAAAAGGCTGCCTATATATATATGGCAAATACCTGTACTGTAAAGCGCTTTGAGTCGTCATCTAGAATTGAAAAGTGCTATATAAATACTATAGAAAGACCTTTAAGGTTGGAAACATTTTCCAGTCACTGTTCATATGAATAGAGTGACACACCCATTATCTTTGATGGTGCAGTAAACTGATGATGAATGATTAATAATTTCTTATAGAGCTGGTAAATAAATGTTTTAAATGTCCAGTGTGTAAGATTTAGGTGAAAGGGATTTTGGCAGAAATTGAATATAAAATAATCCAAATGATGTTTTCACTGGTGTGTTTCATCTAAATTGTATGAATCATTGTTTTCTTTAACATAGAATGGGCCCTTTATATTTAAAAATGTTATATTTACATGGAGGGGGGCCCTCTCTGTGGAGACTGCCATGTTTTTTACTGTCGTCCAAACTGGACAAACTAAAACATCTTGAGTTATTATGACAAATGAAGTTCACCACATTTTTTCTTTCATGTTGGGAAGGGGAGGGTGACATGAGGAGTATTTAGCTGCAACATGAAACTTCACCACTAGATGTCACTAAATTCTACAGACTGAACCTTTTAACAAGCATTATTATCAGTCTCTTTAGTTGTAATGTGATGTTAAAAAGTCAAAGTTAATAGGATCTTCAGGGTTTAAATGTCTGTGTTATTATTTAGATTTGACCAAAACATTCTCAGTTGAGAAGGAAACACCACATTTTGATGTTGAAACATCTAGATTGTGAACTGCATAAAAAAAAATCTTATTTTACAAATGCAATCTAAAAGTGCTGTGTTATTTTCAAAAAAGCAGGCAGTGTAAAAGCCTCATTTCAAAAAATGTTTAGTCATGTGATGACACTGAGAAAATTGACAGTGACAAAAATCGCAGTTGGTTTAAAAAGTGCTTTACGTGTGTTTTCTGATCATTTAGAGGAGAATTCAAAGGGAATAATAAAAATGTCTGGAAAAACTATTGGCTGTGGCCAGTGTTCACAGAATGGCAGCAGCAGCACTGGAATGATTTGTATAGTCCATGGTTGTTTTATTATCAGATTATTTTGAACTGATAATCCATTGGTGTGGATTCTCGCCAGATCCTGTCTCTGCAGGCAGACGAGGTTCAGAAGGAGAGCCAAGTGGAGGAGTATGAGAGGGAGCTTGCCAGAGCCAGGTGGAGGCTGAGAAGACTCAGAGAGGAGGTGAAGCAGGCCAAGAGGAAGATGGAGGAGGCTGGAGAGAGGAACACTCCTCTGCAAGACTCTATCAGACAGTCTTATGAAGAGATCCTGCAGGTACCAGAGTACATGCAGCGTGTATCACCACACTCACATACACACACGCAGGCTCACACACACACAGACACACACACAGACACACACACACACCTACATTCTTTCTTACATGTGTGTTTATGTCTGTGTTTATAGAAACCCTAGGCCTAGAAGGTAAACTAAATTTGCACAGAGCCTTGATGCCACTAAGAATCAGAATAAGAGCTTAGTTAAAACGTTTGTTTATAATAAGATCTCTCTCCGGGGAACTTGTTCAGTTCAGGGAGATATTCAGGGGACACTTATGCGCTTGAGAGCATGTACAGGTTCTATTTCACCTATCTGGTATTGTCTATAAGTTTAACTGAACTTCAAGCGAAAGAAAAACTCTCAAGACAGTCTTGGTGTTGATCTTTTTCTGTCAAATCTGGATGATCACATAATAATACCTGCATTACTATTTAAAAGCTGAGCAAGTGAAAGAACTGTAATATTTTCTGCACTTAGAATATGTATTAACAAATTAAAAAAGTCTAAAGCCATCATTGGCTCCCTATCACTCCTTGCTCTCCCCTTTTCTGTAGGAGGAGCACACTCTGTGTTCTCTGTCGGGAGGTGCAGTCACACCAGAAAGCCACCTGGAGGAGTCCACATCTCCAGCAGACACCACTGAAGATGATGTGCTCCCTCTGAGGCCATGGGGAAGGAGCCAATCACTACCGGCATACGCTGACCTGATAATGGTAAACAAGAGTAATAATGCTGAGTGCTACCTGAAACACTTCTGACTGAAAAAAAAAGGTAAATGGACTGTATTTATATAGTGTTTTTGTAGTTTTGCTGACCACTAACATTTTACAGTACAGTTTATTGTCATTCACACACACATTCAAAAAAGTGCATCTTAGGGCAGCACTTTTTCTATGAGGGGCAATCTGGGGAAGACGGCAGTGCTGACCTTGTGACAGTCACAGAATTATTTAATTCCACACAGCTGTAGCTGAGTCATCTCATTTTGGGCAATGCCGCAGACCATGGATGTGGTGTTTAAAAGAATTTGGCCTTTAGCCAATGAATGTCTAACAAATAACTGATTTGATTTGCATTATGGGAAATGTAGCATCCGGCATTTTGGATTTTTAACCATTAGTCAGAAGGAACTAAAATCGTGCTTTGATTTAGACAATTTATTTTTAATATGCATCATGAAAACCACAAACTGCAAAATTAAGGGCTCGTGCAGACTGAGGTTTTTGCATGATTTGCCTCTCTGAAAGTAATTGTATAGATCTCAGACTACAGGTTAGTGTGCTCTTTTGACTCTGTTGACTGTTGACTTTAGATATAGTAATTATTGGCTCCCAAAATGTTTTTTTAAAACCCTCAACTTCTCATCATATCTCCTCTACCTCAAAGCTATGTCTTGATTGTTGTTGGCTGTGCAAGGTGCTACCCCCTTAAACATGCTTGATTTTCTCCAAGCCAGAGATATGATGGTCTGTATTTAGGTGACTTTGAGGGGAGTCTGAATAAGAAGTATCCAAACAGAATGGATGGAAAACCAAATGTAGGGAGGGAGGTTGCAGATAAACACCAAGACACATGCAGAGCAGCACACAGCCACAAATTACATTAATAATGTTATATCAAACCTTTAATGAGCTTTTTTTGTAATGGGGAACATGAAAAACACACATCTACACAAACCACCACAACTGAGGTAGTGGGGGTCTAAGCTGCAGGTGCAGAAGCTGTGAGCAGAGGAGGTGGAGGCAGTAAGTGCTGGAGATGAGAATTAAGTATTACTAGAACCATCAAACGGAGGTTAATACATATGTTCCATTGCAGTTTGTAGTGGTTTTACAGTGAGGTCAATGGGAAGTTAGATTTTATGTTTGTCAAACCAAACTCTCAACTTTTTATCATTAATTTGAAGTATTAACAACACTAATTCATCAACAAAGTCATGTCCCTTCTTGACTTGTCACATGTTTCTGTTGAATAATAATGTGTTCAAGTCTTACAGTTCTCAGCTTCTGTGGAGTAATCATCAGTACACAAGGCCTGAGACCAGTTGTGTTAAGACCCTCACATCAACATGGCAACTGCCTGGGGAAGAAGTATTTTGGTTGGAGCAACACAGCAGGAGGTAGAGCAGGTAGTCTACTGAGGCTTTGGGCAAGACACTGAACCCCTAAATTGCCCCTGACAGTTATCAGAAAGTGATAGTGTGATTAAAAAGAGTCTATGATAAAAGTCTATAGTAGAGCTGTATAAATGTGTGTGAGAATAGGTGAGTGTGGCTTGTGTGTAAAGCCCTAAGACTATAAAAATGCAGTCCATTTCCAGCACCTGAGATTTTCAAAGTCCTGTGGTGTAAACCTGACTTTAATCACAGGAGTACTGCCCTAACCAGAATAAGCTATTCAGCTGTCCCTTTTCATTCAAGTTGCATTGTCTTTTCTTTTGATGAACATCATCAAAGGTATATTTGTTACAACCCTCTCCTTGGCTTTGTTTGTGTATGTATGGGTGATTATACCAGAGAGCCAGCAGCTCGTCTTTCTGCAATAATCTAGCAGATACCAGAGAAGAGGCAGATGATAGTGGGACCAGTTCTCCAAAGGTAGCTTAATTTTCATTGAACCTCTCTAATCATGCTATACATGGCTTATACATAAAGCTAATGCTGTGTTTTCTTGTTCCACAGATGGACAGATCTGACATAGATGATGATCCAGAGGAGGGTGAGATCAACAGTGGAGGGGCAACAGAGAGAGAGAAGGAAGAGTGCACAATTAACGCAAACCAATTGGACTTCTATAAAGAAAATCCCTTTGCCAGCTGTCAGAGTGACCGTATGTATCAGACTCAGAGTATAATGCAGTCTACATGTTTCTTATGGTAGGGGTTTAGCAGACATATGTGGATCTGTTCAATTAAATTTCATTTGTATTGTTCCTAATCAAAACGTAAATTATATCAATGCAAATAGTACGGTCATGATTTTAAGGAATTATAGACAAACACAACAGTACCCACAACGAGCAAGTCAGTTCAACCCTCTTAAAATTTAACACATTATGGTCCGACTGTATATGCCTGCATTGGCTCCCACATTTTCTGTTTTGCGACCTTCTGAAATACACTTTCCTCTGCTAAGGATGTCCTCTCATTGCATGAAAGGTTTGCCTCATAGTCCATCACCCGCTTACCTTGCTTACCTTCATTGTTCTGGATAGTACAGCTCAAAACCCACATCAGAGGCATCTGCTTGGACCACAAACTCCTTGGGTTTTGAACACAAGGCCTTCTTCAGGTCACCAAATGCTTCTTCTCCTCCACTTCACCATCCTGAATTGTTTCATGTTGTCAGTTCTGTGAGGGGGCAGTTATCATAAACGAGTCAGGGATTCATCTGTAGTAATTTGCAAGGGCCACAAATAATCTCAACTGCCTCTTTGTTAGTGGTTTTGACAAGTCCTGGATGGCATCAAATTTTTCCAACGGAGATTTGACAAGGCCCTGCCCAAAGGTGTGTCCCAAGTGGTTTGTCTTGAAGGCCAGTTTACATTTCTTGGGATTCGCTTGTCAGAGGGAATCCAGGAACTTCTGTAAGTGGCTTTCCAATTCTGGGCTCTGCATCACCACATCATCTAAATAGGTGGCTGCATGTTCTTGATGGGGTTTGAGTGATGGGAGCTCCAAGCAGACAGAAGGAGAGTCTTATTAAACCTCTCCACTAACCCATCTGTCATGGTTTCACTTGGAACAGAGCACATTACTCCCTGGTGACACTGGATATAAGGGGCTCCCTTGGTCTGTAAGAATCTGTTTTGGTATCCCTACCCTTTATTAAAATGTACTGGTGTCTTCAAGATCTTTTGGGGAGGGAACCCACAATATCCATCCCCACCCTTTCAAATGGGGTTTCTATGATAGGCAAAGGGACAAGCTTTGGGGATGTGACCTGGCAATCTTGGTAAATTGCTACAGTAATTATCTACCGCCTTTTGAACTCCTGGCCAAAAGAACCTCTGCAAAACTCTTTCCTTTGTCTTTTCTACCCCCAAGTGGGCTCCAAGCAATTGAGTATGTCCTTACTGTAGAAGTGTGATCACTTTGCAGAACAAAGAGTTCGATAACTGTGTCATTATGTCTACCACTTGATGCAAGAGGCAATTTTTCACTACAAAGTGATGTTAGGAAGGAGATAAGGATACTGCTCCTTTAGTTGATCAGCCTTAATTTGCTGTCATTTGTTTCTTGCTGTGCCCTCTAGTTTTCAAACAGCAACTAAACAAGGTGCTCCATTTGGGTAGGGTGATGGTTGTGTGAAGTCCTGAAAAAAGTTTAGTCAAAACAACAATATTTTTTCTCCAAATCATCCACACTTAAAGGTACAGTGTGTAGAATTTAGTGACATCTAGTGGTGAAATTGCATGTGGCAGCTGAATACCCCTCACCTCACCCTCCCCTTCCAAACATGACTGAGAACCTGTAGAAGCCTTCAGTTGTCAAAAGGTGTTTAGTTTTTCCTGTCTGGACTACTTTAAAAAAATGGCAGCCTCCGAAGAGAGGACCCCCTCGATGTGGGCCCCTTATAGGGTATAGAAAACAACAATTAATAAAATTTAGATGAAACACACTTGTGAAAACATCACAAGGGTTATTTTATATTAATTTTGTGCCAAGAGACCAGATTCTTTTCCCCTAAATCTTACACACTGAACCTTCAAGCCCCACTGACCACATTCTCCACCATCTGTAAGGTTTTGAGAGGTCACAAGAGCCGTATAGGGTGGGAGAGTGGAAAACTGAGAAAAACTGTCTGAAACAAAAGATTCAAAGGAAGTAGTAGCTTTATTCCACAGTCAGCAGGTTAATGAGAGGTAAAGCACGTTATTTCTTGTTTTAGTCCCACATCCAACTTAAAACATCCCTGTGGAAAAAGCTTCTCTCTAATTTAAACCAAAAACTTTAAGATACAGGCCCTCAAAGTCCATCAGCCATGCTTCTTTGATCTGTGTGCTCACTGCACCACTGCTCTCTTTGTTCTCTCCTGTCTCATCTTTCAGTCCTGCTTAAATTAGGTGGCTTAAGCATCCAAACCCGCCTGGCTGGTGAGGCATTCTGGGAGATGTAGTGTGTGCAGCATCTGCCATTTTGTGATGTGGCAGCTGATCCTGTATGGTAATGTAGTATTCCTCCACTACATGCCCCCTTGTGATGCCACAATGCACACAATGAAAGTGGTATATTTCGAGTTTATGCTGAAAAGACGGTAAACTCTCTGTGGATGTTTTAATGACCACTGACTTGGGAAGGATTTCTCCTGATGCTGCTGATGGTCTATCAGACTGTGACAGATGGCCAGTGCGTTTGTGTGGGGGAGAGAGGGAGAGAGGGAGAGCAAGGCAAGGAGCTTTTTCCTGCTGTCCTTTCCACTTCCATTAGGTTTCATCTGTTAAAAATAAATTGATTGATAAATTGATTTACTTTGCAGCATAACTATTGGATGTTTATCTCTACACAAAGATTCCCTGTCTGCACATTCAGCATTCTCTCTTGTAGGTAATGGGGGGGTGGCTGAGAGGGGATGGTAAAATTGAGGTTATTCATATTTTATAGGTTTATAGGGGATGGGATGCCCTCTGCCTTGCCCAAATTCTTGAGATTTGCATTCAATCAAATGGTAAAGACGATCTGTGTATAGGGTTGGGCTGACAGCCATTGCAAACCTTGTGATGACCCCCTTGCTCGACACTGATAGTGGGGCCAGCCTGCCACACACAGACTATAATTTCAGTGTCTAGTGATGACAGTTAAAATGAAGAACCGTTTATATGAATCAAAAAGCCTGTGAGAGTAATGCCCTTATACAAATGCTGTGAAAATAATTTGGTTATAGTGATCAAGTAGCCGGCTAACAGCCACCAGCTGCGCTGATTACCCCCTGGTACAGCTGGAGGTGCTCTGTGAGCCACCTCCACACCCACATATATGTTTGGACCATAAAAAAACATATCTTTTTATAGTTTTAGCAGCTCTGTCAGTAATTTACTGCTCATCTCTGTGTCTCTACAGCTGTTTTTAAGACATACACTGAACTCCGAAGATTCTCTGCACTGAGAGCCTCCAGATTTGCTGCAGATTTCCTAAATAATGCAGAAGATTTTTGGCTGTTGTGAACGTGTCTGTGCAGACAACCTCCTGCTGCGTTGTGCATGTGTGACAGGAAAATTGCAGATAAAATTTGGACCGATTTCTTCAGACTGTATCTGCAGCTCATGTCAGAATTCTGTCTCATTCTGAACTACACTGCCAACCGAATCCAGCCAAACCGATATCACCCCCCCC